TTGAAAGATGATGTCTAGGCTCTTTTTTTGATCATGGCTTTCAGATAGTCCAATAATTTTTAAATTCTCTCTCCTGGATCTATTTTCCAGGTCAGTTGTTTTTCCAATGAGATATTTCACATTGTTTTCTAATTTTTCATTCTTTTGGATTTGTTTTTACAGTGTCTTGATTTCTCATAAAGTCACTATCTTCCAATTGCTGTATTCTAATTTTTAAGGAAGTATTTTCTTCAGTAATCTTTTGACTTCCTTTTCCATTTGGCCAATTTTTCTTTTTAGGGCATTCTTCTCCTCATTGGCTTTTTGGACCTCTTTTGCCATTTGGGTTAGGCTATTTTTTAAGGTGTTATTTTCTTCAGTATTTTTTTGGGTCTCCTTTAGCAAGCTGTTGACTTGTTTTTCGTGATTTTCTTGCATCACTCTCATTTCTCCTCCCAGTTTTTCCTCTATTTCTCTTACTTGCTTCTCAAATCCCTTTTGAGCTCTTCCAAGGCCTGGGACTGATTCATATTTTTCTTGGAGGCTTTGGATGTAGGAGTTTTGACTTTGTTGTCTTCTTCTGGTTGTAGGTTTTGATCTTCTTGTTACCAGAAAAAGATTCTATGGTCTGACACTTCTTGTGAGATTTGCTCATGATCCCAGCCAATTAGTTGAGTTATAAACTCTTTATTAAGAATAGAGGTCTGCTTCCAATGTGGAGGCTTTGTACAGCTGTTTTCAGAAATACTTTTAGGGACCTGTAAATTTTCAGTTCTTCCAAGGTGGTATGATAAGGGGCGAGGTGTTTACTCCTTTGCTGACCTGGGCTCTGGACTATGAGTGACCACCAGCACTCTTTTCTGTCTTGGAACTGTGAGGAAGATTTTCTCTCCACAGCCACTACAAGCTCCACCACACCAGTGCTCCTCCTAACCCCAGGACTGCCCCTCAGAACTGTGACCCAGATCCAAGCATGGGCAAAACAAGACAATCCCCCTCTGATCAGCCACCACATTCCCCCTGAGTCTGTGGGCTGGAAGCTCAGGAGGCAGCCGCCACCTCGGGGCCGCACTTGCTAGGGAACTGAGGCTGAGATCTAGCTTCTCTCTCACTGCAGAAACAGACTTTTCCCACTGATCTTCTGAGTTGTCTTTGGCGTTCCTGGGTTGAGAAGTCTAAAACCGCCACAGCTGCCTGTGATTCAGGTTTGCTGTGGCCTGCGCACCCATGCCAAACTGCGCTCCTCTCACAGCCCAGTGTGATATACCTTTCTGATCAACCATCCAAGTTGTCTCGGGCTGGAAATTTGCTTCACTCTGTCTTTTTGTGGATTCTGCTGCTTTAGAATTTGTTTAGAGCCATTTTTAATAGGTATTTGGAGGGGTTTGGGGGAGAGCTCAAGCGAGTCACTGCTTTCACTCTGCCATCTTGGCTCCGCCCCCCTAGAATGTGACTTCTTAAAGGCAGGGACTGTCTAGCTTTTCGTTTTGTATTGCCCCACTTAGTATCGTGCCTGGGGCGTAGCTAACACTTAATAAGTGGATTTTTTTGTTTATCCTTTCAAGTGACTTGTCTAAAGTCTACCTACTCTAAATTCAGTGCTCTTTTAACTATACTGTGATAGGAGGCAGAATCAGCCTCCTTACACTGCCCTGCATGGGTTTGTTCCTGGCCTGTATGTAACTCCACTGACTATAGCCCACAGACAGCATCGCTGACCATCAGGTCAGATGGTACTATAAATTACATTGTAGAGTGAATACCAATATCACTTTCTAGGAGGACTTTCTTGACTGAAATTCTTCACAAGACAAATTGGGTGATAAGTAAGCCTGCAAGAAGCAAGGCACTTAGCAGTGCCTAGAACTAAGACAGGGACCTCAGGCCACAGAAATGTGAAGGGGGGCAGATGGGTTGAAATATTCCCAGCCATTTCATAGAACTGGTATGGACCTCAGACCATTACATCCAACTCTATCATTTGATAGATAAAAAAAACCTGAGGCTGAAAGAGATGAAGCGATTTCTCCAAGGTCAGTGATCAATAATAGACCCCAGATCCTCTAAAGCCTTGGCCAGTGCTCTTCCTGTCATACTACAATGCCTTGGCCACCTCATTTCCCTGCTTAGGGCTTATAAAGGATTCACCACGATCCATCATTCCTGTGCATAGTCCCAGGAACCTGCAGCATTCTAATGCTTCATGCTTATCTGGAAAAACAGAGGTAACCAATCCCCACAATTCCTCAGCCTCTTGATGGGTATATTTCAGATGCTTCTAGAAACTGTCCACTTTTTCTTATTGTCAGCCAACAGCACTCATAAGCATCCGCTCTTGGGGGATAAATATTTCAGGAGTATGACTAATAGCAGGAAGGAATTGTGACATGGTCTCTCATGATTCCTTATTAAGAAGATAGAACAGACACCCATGGAAATGAAAAGCAAAAATAAAGCACATTTAACTTTTGTAAGTGTTTTCATATCATAAGCATCAAACACTTGTCGAGAGCCTTTAAATCAATCAACAAGCATTCATTTTGTTCACTTTTTTAAAAACATTTTTATTGATATCTCACTTTTACAGCGTATTTGTTTTCCCCTGTATCCTTCCTTACCTCCCCTCCCCCCCAGAGAGCTATCCTTTATAACAGGAATTTTTTAAAAGGAAGAGAGGGGGTGAAGTCAGAAAAAACAGTCATCACATTGCAAAAGCATGACATTTATATGCAATGTTCTATCCCTCTAGACCCCAACTTCACAGCATTGTGTTCAACTCCATCATTTTTCAGTTGAAAAAACTGAAGCTGAAGGGGAGATGAAGTGATTTGTCCCAGGTCAGTGGCAAAATCAAGGATATATTCCTCCAGATCCCCTAATCTCTTGACCCGTGCTCTTTCCATGACACTACATAGCTATTTAGTGTTTGAGGCCAGACATGAACTCAGGTCTTCCTGAATCCTAAGTTCCAATCTGGTCTCAGACACTTACCAGCTGTGTGACCCTAGGCAAGTCACTTAACCCTGTTTGCTTCAGTTGCCCCAAATGAGCTGGAGAAGGAAATGACAAACCTCCCCAATATCTCTGCCCCCCAAAAAAATGGGGCCACAAAGAGTTGGACACAACTGAAAAACTATGCAACAACAGCAACAGCTTCCTGACTCCAGGCCCAGCATTCTATCCCCGTGCCGCCTAGCTGCCCTGGAAGAGTGGTAGTGCTTTCAAGAGGAATAGAAGCTTGGAAGAAGGAGGCGGGGCAGGAGTTAGGGAAAATACAATGAGTTCAATCTTGAACATGTTGAGTTTCAGGTTCCTATGGGACATGCAGTTAAAAATGTCCTCTAGGCAATTGGTGATGTAGAACTGAAGCTTAGGGGGGACCATGAGGCTAGATATATAGACCTGTGAGTCTTCTGCATAGAGATTATAATTAGGCAGTAGATGAGGTCACCAAGAGAAAGAATGTAGAGGAAGAAGAGAAGACCTAGGAAAAGTAATGTGGGGACAGATTACATGTAAGGAACAAATAAAAGAGAAGAATCAAAGATAATTCCAAAGATTCAGCAAACATTTGTCATGGTAGGGGTGGGGGTGGGGTAGTGTCTACTGGGTACCAGGCATTGTGCTAAATGCTTAACAGTTATGATTTCCTTTGAGTCTCACAACAATCCGGTCAGGTAGGTACTATTGCTATCCCCATTTTGCAGTTGAGGAAACTAAGGCAGACAAAGGGAAGTGACTTGCCCCACATCTCACAGCTATTAAGTATTTGAGGATGGATTAGAACTCATATCTTCCTGATTCCTGGTCCAGTGTTCTATCCACCTTACCACTGACCTGCCTCATAGATTAAGGTTAGAAATGGAAGGAACCTTAAAGGTCACCTAATCTAACTCTTTCATTGGCCAGAAATGCAAGCATATGTATTGAAAGCTCCTTTAGTGAGTAGAGAAAGTTTCTTTTTTTCCCATTTTAAAAGCTCTGGTGGGGTACTCAGGTAAAACGGTCTCATTGCATGATAAGATGTCATCTTAGGCATCAAAGAGAAATGGTAGAACCCCGGAGAAGTGAGGGATTGGGTAGCTGCCAGCCACGCAGTCATTTCCACTCATTTAAAGCATCAGAACCTCTAAGTCCAATCCCTGGACAAAGGGAGTTATATTGTGTGGCATTGTACAATGTGACCTCTAAACTACATAGCAGGCAGGTTGCCTCTCATATGATTTCTTGAATATAAGTAAGACTGAAACAGGCAGTTAAGGGTGGAAGAGAAGGGCTCTGCCCTCCTGTTAGCATTTGCTCTCCCATCATTAGGTTCTTGCAAAAGTTATTGGGAGTGACAGGGACTTGTGTTACATGAATCAATTGTAGGTCTGAAAGTAAGTACTTCATTGGTGCACCTGACTGCTTGCCATGTTTGAAACTGCTTCCCTCTGAAGACTATGAACTGTCACGTTTATGGGGTGTCCTTTATTCCCTGTCAAGAGAAGGCTTTACACAAGTGTCTGGATGTACTTCTCATAACTCTGACCTGAAGCCTGCAGTGAATCAGCCTCAGAGCTCTCTTGCTTTGCTCTCTCTCTCTCTGTCTCTGTCTCTCTCTCTGTCTCTCATCTCACCTCTCTGCACTCCCCCCTGCTTTGCACTATCTTCCTAGGTCCCTCATTCCCAGCCAAATACCACCTACTGTTATCAGCTACCCAGAGGCAGAAGGAAAGAAAGAAACACTGACAAACGTGAATGACAATTACCAACAAGCTCCACCGGCCTGCTAGGATTTACTAATGGCTTTTAAAAGATACTCCAAGTCATTATTGCAACATTATGAGAGTTGGGAAGATTGCTGCTAATCTCAGACTGCCTTTGTGTTCTTAATGGAGAAGAGCAAACTTCATGGCCAGAATCCAATTTTATACCTTTGTTCTCAAATCTACTCTAAAGGGGGGGAAAAAAACTAGCTATAAAGTACAGCTGTTCAAGAATGAGTAAGATAACATCTAAGTGTGGAATGAATGGCTCACCTTCATTCAGGGCATTTAATTTTCAATGTCTTAAGGTACAAAACAAAACTGGTCAGGTTAGTGGGTTGCCTCCAAGTGAGCAGGTGAACCATGGGGAGTATGTCGACTTTTTTGAAAGACCTCCTGGGTAATGATCCACTCCGCCTAGAATAAGTAAAAAAGATTATTTCAGGGTTTTCAAAGAATTTTGGAAGTTTGGAGAAGCAACTCACAACAAAGGACAATATTTTCTTTGGAGCGTGTGCAAGATCTGTCTGCCTTTGGGTATACTTTTTTTTTTCCATGAAAGCATGTTCAGGCTAAAAGTACATAACACTGTAATGATAAAAAAAAAAAAAAGAAGTTAAGAGGGTGTTTGTCTCCTTAGAAAACAAAGAATGAATTTATTTAGTCCTTTGCAACAGCAGCAGAATAAGACAACACTGTGGGGGAAAAATCAGTCCAATGGCAAACAGAGAGTAAAAAACAAATTGCTCTCCAGCCATAGTCTGAGTGGTTATTGGCACGAAAATCAAAATGCTGAATTCCTGACCTGCTTCATCCTTTTTTTCATTTAATAATCTGGGGTGAAAGGCCTTTGGATTTCCAACTTTTTAAAAAGCATCTATTGCTCACAAAGCCCATGAGAGGCAGCAGATAGAGTGCTGGGTTTAGGGTCAGAAGACTTGTGCTTTACTCATACCTCTACTATTTACTACTTCTATGACCTTGGGCCTCAGTTTCCTCATTTGTCAAATAAAGGGGTTAGAAAAATAATAAAATAAAGGAGTTGGACTAGATGACTTCTGGGGTCCTTTCCAGCTGTAAATTTCAGTAGGATTGAATAGACCACCCCATAGAGAGCAGCTTACCCCTTTTCAGTGTGCTAGTATTCATTTTCCATTGGAAATTCCACGAAATCCACTGGAATGCCTAACTTTGTGTGTATCACGAAGCCCCTTGAAAATCTAGTGAAGCCTATGGACCCTTACAGAGAATGCTTTTTTAAAAAGATTCAAAATTAGGGGAAGTGTTAAATTTCAGTTAGAGGTTATTGAAAACTAAGATATATTTGTTGTTACTGTTGTTGTTTGTCCCCCATCCAAGTTCATGGAGTTTCTGAAATCTGTCCACAGACCCAGTTGTGTGCTGGTTAGCAACTGACTTAACGTCCCCCACAAAAATGATATATACACAGCACACTTTTAAATTTAATCTGCAGTATTAACATTTCCACCATCATCACTTTCTTAAGTTTAAACTGTCAAAAAAAAAACTTCAACAACACTAAATCAAGGTCTGATTTTCAGCATTTACCAATTTCCAAGGTATACATACTCAAAATGAAAATTTAGCAATTGGTTCTCCCCAGAGGCGGCACACTGGATAGAATATCAAGCCTAGAGTCAGGAAGACCTGAATTCAAATCTAGCCGCAGACACTTACTAACTACATGATCTGAGCAAGTCATTTCACCCTCTTTGCCTCAGTTTTCTCATCCGTCAAAAGAGCTGGAGAAAGAAATGGCGAACCACTCCAGTATCTTTGCCAAGAAAACCCCAAATGAGGTCACAAAGAGTTGGACTTGACTGAAAATGATTGAACAACAACAAAGAGGCTTGAGATGTTTGAGTGCACCCCTGATCGGACCCAAGGTGAAAAACCTGGCAGAGGCATATGTATATACATACACTATGTAGATAAAGCTATAGGTTTACATATAGATATAGATATAGTATACGTATATATAACCATATATATAAATACCATATATTATATATTACACCATATGTTTTGTGTGTGTGCGCGTGTGTGTGTGTATCTTGTACCATCTTGGCATGAGATGAAGAGTCAGGAAACTGACTCTGACGTAGCTTAACTTACTACTTGTGTTGATTTGGGAAAATCATTTTGCCACTCTAGGCTTCTGTTTCATCTTCACTAGAATGAAAGGATTAGACTAAATGACCTCTAAGATCTTTTCCAACTTTATGATCTCTAGGGTACTGTTGATCCTGAGGTAGAAAACAGAATCAGAGTTCAAAGATGACTCTTAAGTCTTTGTGAAGGGGAGAGGGAAGATGAGTTTTAAAATGTACCACTGCAGAATTAAGTTCGGAAGCCAAATCATGGGGTCATTCACAAGGAAATAAGAATGCAAAGATCAGGATGTAAATAAAGCCAAAGGTCAAACTGGGGAGGATCAGGACAGGAAGTAATCTCAAGTCAAAAATGTTAATGCCCCAGTTTATGAAAATGGGAGTGCAAAGCTTGAATTTTTGGTTGAAAAAAGAAGAGGGTGTCCAGCCAAGCAAGACATAGAAGGAATCAGAATGCTGGGAAAATATAGACATTGTGGGAACTAACCATAATTCTCAGTTCTCATGCCTCTTGAATATGTTATAGTGTCAGTGACTTTGTCTCCTGGATAGAATGAATTTAATGAGCAGGTGCCCATCAACTAAAAGTTTGCACTTGGCAAAGGAGCAAGACAGAGCCCTTTAACTCAGACAATGATGGGAAATAATTATGGCTGCAGCCCCCAAAACAACCTTCTTAGCCAACGAATCATTTGCAAAATGAATCTGTTTGACCTCAAACACTTCCTCTAATTGTGACTTGAATTCTTCATCTATCAGTTGAATTAAATAAATGGATGGTCTCACATTCTACGAGTATCTGACTCTGCGAATCTGCGGACCTTCCAAGACTATAAATATACAAGTTTCTCATTTGGCCCTCCCAGGGACCATGGAGCATATACAACAACCTCATATGTTTATAAATCAAACTATTCATAATGACATTATGCCCAAGTTCACGTAGCTGTTGTTTGTCATTCAGCATTTCAGTCATGATCCCATCTGGGGTTTTCTTGGCAAAGATGCTGGAGTGGTTTGCCAATTCTTTCTCATTTTACAAATGAGGAAACTGAGGCAAACAGGGTTAAGTGACTTACCCTGTCATTTAAGAAGACATTGGAACTCAAGAAGACTCATCTTCCTGACTCCAGGTGCAGCCCTCTAACCATTGTACCACCTGGCTGCCTCATGTAAGTTCATACAAAATTGCTAACAATGGAATCATGTTTAAATAGGGATGTAGCACAGTGTCCTGGAGAGGGGACTGGACTTAGAATCTGAAGTCCCAATTTCAAGTCTCATTACTTTAGGTCATTCAATTAATCTCTCTGAGGCTCATTTTTCTCATCTGCCAAATGGGGATAGTAATACCCATCTCCCAAGATTGTCGTGAAGAAGGGGTAGGACCTAGACTTGTGATTTCACTGGTTTGTGAAACTCTCAGATAAGACTTCTACTAAATCAGCTTTTCTGCAGCTTAGATTCTAAGAGAGCTACTTAAAGGTCAATTGACCTTCCCAGGAGCACAGATAGGAGCTCCAGAATATAAAGCTAGCTCTCTATCCTTTATGCCAAGCTGACTCTCCATGTTTGAGGAAAGCACTCAGCAAACCCTACAGCAATATTGTTTTAAGAACAACATTGAGCAACTAAGTAATTTTGACTATTATAAATACCCAAATTAACTACAAATGATATGTGAAGGAAGATGCTATCTGCATCCAGAGAAAGAGATGATAAAAGAAGTATATATAGAATGATTTTACATATATATACACATTTGTATCTAATGGTAGCCATCTCTAGGGTAAGGGGGAGAAGAAAAAAAGGGACAAAAAAGAAATTTACACAATAACTTTATCATGTATTTAAAAGGAATAGCAACTTGTACACAATAGATTTGAAGTATCATGTGCAATCATCTTTTTTTATTCTAATGTGTTATGGAAATGCTTATTTTATTTCATAAGTTAAAAATAAAATTAATGCAATTTTAAAGAAAAAATTATATTGAAAGATGAATTGTTATCAATGATTTGGAATCAGATATTGTCAAAGTTGAAGCCCTAAAGTTAAGGAAAACCCATTAACTTCCAGGATACCTCATTTCCCTTTTGGATAGTGCTAATTATTTGGAACTTTTTCTGTGAATTAAGCCAAGATCTGCCTCTCTGCAACTTCCACCATTTTTCCTAATTCTGACCTCTAGAGTAAAGCAGAAAAATCTAATCCTTCTTCCACAAAACAACTCTCCATACAATTCAAGACAACTCTCCTGTTCCTCTAAGTTGTCTCTTTTCCAGGCTCAAAATCCTCAGTTCTCTTGACTCAACTTCACAAAATGTGATTTTTGAGGCCCCTGACCATTCTGGTTGCTTTCCTCTGGACACTCTCTAGCTTATAAATGTCCTTCTGAAAAGATGGTGCCCAGAACAGAACACAATAAATACTCCAAATACGGTCCCACCAAGGCGAAGTGCAACAGGATTAGTATTACCCCACTAGTCTGGTAACTTATGTCTCTCAAACGCAGTCTAAGATTTTGCATTTTTGGTGGGTATACTGCATCTATAGTCAGACAAACTATCTTGCCATGTCTTTTCTATTTTGTAATGAGGGGGATTTTCTGAAGCCATGTATAAAAATTTATATTTATCCCAATAAAATTTAATCTTACTAGATTTAGCCTAATGGTCTAGCTTGTCAAGATCTTTTTGGATTCTTACTCAGCCATCCAATGTAGTAACTACTTCTCCTAGCCTTTTGTCATCTACACATTTGATCAACATATTATTCGTGCATTTGTCATTGATAAAAAATATTGAACAGCATAATATTGCATCTTTATTATACCTTAGTAGAAACTTCCTTCCAAGTTAACATCAAATTATTAATGTTGTTTTATTATTGTTGTTATACTTTGCAAAGGCAGCCTGACATAGTAGAGTGCTAGGTTTTGAGTCTGGAAGGCCTGAGTTAAAATACTGCCTTCTGCATTTATTGGCTATGGGACTCCAGGCAAGTTACTTAAAGTCATTTTGCCTCAGGCAATTTCTTAAGGCTTACCTGCTAAGTAACGTGGATGGTCACAGGATTCTGATAGAGGGAGTTAGTTCCTTGGACTACAGATATACCACAAATCTTTCTGGTATTTTTTTTTAATATTAGCTATTACTCTTTGGATCCTGACACTCATCTGCTTCCAAATCCACTTAACTATACTATTATTTGTCTTTACTTTTCCATCTTGTCCAGAAGAATAGAATGAAAAACTTTGTCGTTTCCTTTACTAAAATCTATATG